CCTATGAGTGTGTGAGGCTTTGGAGGGAACATCTAGGTATAAGCATAACAGCAACTAAAGACACTCATGAAACAGAACTTCCAGAAGAAAACACTTTCAAAGCATGAAAGCACTTTTAAGCATGAGAAAGTGGCAAGAATGATGGGATAAGTGTATTCAAAGCAAGGGGGAGTATTTTCAGGCAGATTAATGACAACATGTTTTTTATTGTAATAAAGTTTTAGAAATTAAAAAAATATTTACCGTATTTTTTGACCTAGTAAATACCCTACTTGGTTTTTGGTCTTGCTTTGGTTCAACTCCTTATCATTTTCCTATTTCTCTCTTTTGGAATGTGAATGTTTACCTTAGGCAATCTTATCTGCGAAGTATATAACTTGTTCTTTGATTTTTTTTTTTTTCTACCAGGGATCGAACTTAGGTCCTTAAACTTGTGAGGCAGAATCCCCAGCTAAATCCCCAGCCCTATTCTTTGATTTTTACAGGAGCTCACAACCAAGTTTGCCTCGAGTCTCAGAGAAGACGAGACTTGGACTCTTGAGCAATACTGGAACAGTTAAGACTGAGGAACCTGGGAGAAGCCATTGGAATAATGAAAGCGGGCAAAATAGTCCTGTTTTGGTAACATTCTCAACAAAGTGCCAAAGTGCCAGTGTAGATGTGTCATGTCAGGGGTGTGTACCAAAGCTCCACTGTCTGAGCAGCTCACCAGGATTATAAACTCTACACTAGCAATGAATCAATGGAATGGAACAAAGTTTAAAAGGGAAAAGACTTTTTTTTTTTTGGTATCGGGGATCGAGCTTGGCACCTTGAGCTTGAAAAGACTTTATTTGAAAAGAGGGGAAAAAGGGAAATAGACCACTACTCTTCAGAGTAGGGGGCACCAGAAAGGCAAATCTTCATAGGCCTTTGTCCTCAGCTTCCTTTTATCATGTTTTAGGAACCCTCCCCCCCCAATACCTGGGATTTGTCACAACCTGATTGGTTTTCTGGACTGTTATAGATGGATCCCAGGTCCCAAGACCCTAACCTGGGCACCACTGCCTACATGAACATTCCTAAGTGTGCATTGTTTGTTTTCCCTTGCCTGCTTGTCCTTGCCTGCTTTTCCTTGTCCTGCTTGTCTCTGGGATTTATGGGTTGGTTAGGGGGAGCCTTACAGACAAGGCCACCAAAAGTTAGTGATTCAGGGCATACGTGTTAACTAGTGCAGGAATAAAATGGCCCTAGAATATGAATGTATATAAAATATCCTTGGTCAGCTCTGCATATAGGTGTATTAATCATTTAAAGAATGCCTGTGTATAAACTGGTTATACAAGGTTTATTAGCCCTAAATCTACCTAACCTGCCTCATCTCCCTTCAAGATGGAAGACACCAAGATAAGTGATTGAAGGGAACATTTAGCTTTGCCAGCTAGAAGGAATGTCAATGTAGATAGATGATGCTTTTTTTTGGTACCTGGGATCGAACTTGGGTCCTTGTGCTTGCGGGGCAGGCGGCGGAACCACCGAGCTAAATCCCCAGCCAGATGATGCATTTTTAAACTGTTTTCCTTGTTGCCATATTGTGGCCAACCACTTTCTCAGGATTTGGTTTTTACCTCTCTTAACCCAATTCCCCCATGGGAATTGGGATTTTGGAAATTTCAGCTTTCAAGATTTCAACATTCAGGAGTGTAATTTTGGGAATTTACACTTTAGGGATTTTTTAGGATTTCAACATTTGGGATTATGGCAATCGGGACTTGTGTCTTTCAGGATTATGATCAAGAGTAGGTACAAAGTGTTTTCAGATTCTTTCCTGGGTAAGATTTGTGACACAAAAGAAAAATAAGAAAAATGAGAAGGAAGAGGAAAAGGAGACAAAGAGGAGGAAGAAGAGGAGAAGGAATAGACATACTGAAATCATTTTATTAATGATCAGAGTTTATGTCCAGGCATGTGGAAATAACTCCTTATAGAAAGATCCTACTACAAGGATCCTGGCTTATAGAAGATTCTTTAGTTATGGAATTTCACATTTTTCAGATTGAAAATGTGCACAGCTAAATCACTGCATTTTTTTGTCAGTCTGTCTGTATCTATCTATCTATCTTTTGTGATTTTTTGGGGGGGGGACCGGGGATGGAACTCGGGTCCTTGCGCTTGCGAGGCAGGCAGCGGAACCACTGAGCTAAAGCCTCGGCTATCTATCTATCTATCTATCTATCTATCTATCTATCTATCTATCTGAGACAGGGTCTTGCTATGTATCTCAGGCTGGCCTTGAATTCATTACATAGCGCAGGCTGGCTTCAAACTCGTGGCAATCCTTCTGCCTCAGCCTCCTGAGTGCTGGGATTACAGACATGCACCACCACACCCTGGCTCTAGCCCCCTTCTTGCCTAAGTGTAGCCTTGTACCTAAATTTTGAACAGTGAACTGTAAATAGCATTTGTTGGTGAATACCCCATAAAGGATCCTTAAATGAGAGACAGCTGGGGCCCAACCTTTTGTCCTTTTCCCTTCCTAGGAAGGAGATAAGATGGCTAAAATGGGTCGAGGCAGGTTTGAGGATAAAGGAGCTTGCATCCTTGATGACTTCACAGAAGGATCACTCCAGCCCTGAACTGCTGACCCTATATCTTTCATACTCTTGTGTTTAAGACACTGTGGCTGGATCACTGTTACTTTAATATGAATGCAATTAATAGCTGACTTAAAGTGATTTCATTTCAACCACTCCGGTTGCCTCCTCCAAAAAATGCATAGGTCTGGATTGTGACAGGTCTAAGGATAGCTGTGAAATAGCCTTAGAAGTTTAGCCAAGGGAAATGCCTATTTATGGTGACTTGGTTTTGCAGAGGTCATTCTGAGCTACCTGGAGGAATCTGGGACAGAATCCGGTCTACTGTAATCTAATCCCGGAGCCTTTTGGATTTCTTTCAGAAGCCAGTGGAAAAAGACGCTTGTTTATTAGGTAGGGTAGGAAAAATGGCAATAAACTTCTCTTTGGCTCCTGTACCCCTAGCACCTTGGTCTCAATCCTGGATGCTCCTTGACTACTGATGCCACTCACCCTTCCCTCTGCCCCAATATTTGTTGCCTGCTCAAAAAGGCATGTCCTAGGGGTCACTCTAAACCTCAAAGTATCATTATCTATATAAGCAAGAAGTGCCTTGAGGCATCATGACTACACTGTCTCCTTACAGTTACATGTTATTTTCACTAGATCAAGCCCTTTCATTAGTCACTTGACCCATCACTGAATTCTGCTGTTTCATCCTTCAAAATGTCATTTTCCCCTAGTTGCCATAGCTAGCACCCTAAAGATGGTTTCTAGTGCTTCCTGCTGTAATGAATCCAACAGCTTCTTAACTAGCCTGTCCCTTATGGTATCAGTGACAGACTGTGTCACCTGAAAAATTACTTTCTGGGTGCCTTACCTCAGCAAATAGGAATCTCAACTTCCCATTACCAACTATATTAAACCTATAAACTCTTCTCCGAGTTTTAAGGATATCCATAACAAGGGCCTACCCGGAATGTCTTCAGTCCAACACATGCCCAGAGTTAAATTCTCCTAACAGCTGAACAACACCCTTGGCAGGTCCTCTTTTCCTGAATTGGAAGCTTGATCATCCTTGGGAGGGCTGCAAAGGGGATGGAGGAAAACGAAAATCTATTCACCATTGCTGCTGCTTCTTTTGATACTGTTCTATTCAACAAAGACTCAGGTCATGTCACTGGCAGCTAAAGCTTTCCTAGCTTTTATATAAGGAGGATTCGCACAATTCAGTATTGTTTTTTAAACTGCTGAGAAAACATGTGATACAGCTTATTGGACTATAAGATAGCACAGGAAGAATTCTTTTGTCCTTTTTTTTTTTAACACTCCTGGGAATTTGGTTCAGAGAAGGCACTGAGCAAATGTAGACTTGACTGACAGGGCTTAGTAGTCAGGAAAGTATGAACTTTGGATTCTAATCCCGACTTTTCTTTTTTTTGTTGTTGTTTTTGTGGTACAGGGATCGAACTCAGGGCCTTGAGCTTGCGAGGCAGGCGGTGGCACCACTGAGCTAAATCCCCAGCAGTAATCACGACTCTTCTACTTATTAACATGCGACCAATCATGCTGCTTTAACCTCAGTGAGCTTTTATGGTCACCTGGAGCCAGCAATACCAATTCCAGAAGTAAAATAAAGAAAAATTATTTATAAATCACTTAATGCACTCCCACTACATGTCTGGCATTTGACAGCAATCTTCTTCTATATGTGCTACTGGGGACTGAACCCAAGGCCTTCTCAACTGAGCTACATCCCCAGTCCACCCCCAACCCCTTTTGTTGAGACGGGCTTGCTAAATTGTCTAGGCTGGGCTTGAACTTGAGATTCTCCTGGTTCAGCCTCCATAAACGCAGGGATTTACAAGCATGTGCCACCATGCCCGGCTGGATACACTCTCACTAGGCAGCCAGTGGGATCAAGTCAGCCTGGCTCCTATCCTGGATCTGGCCAGGAGAAAACCTCTAGGCCAGAAAGCAAGGTCACTCTGGGTACTGGGTGAGAGGGCCAAACTGGCTCTATACCCTCTGCTAACACGCTCGCTGGGCAGCCCTGACCCACACCCAGGCCCTGTCTTGCCGAGGGACGCTTCCTTGGCTCCAGGGAACGAATAACACGGAGGCGTTCCCGGGCAAGGCCTGGATATTCCGTTCACAAGGGTACAGCTGAAGGCCAGAGGCAGACGCTGCACTTCTTTGCGGGCGCCGAGGGGCGAGTAAGGGCGGGCCTAAGGACCATACCAATTGCACATGGCGGGGGGCAGCGTTCTTTTGGCGGCACGCCACAGCAGTGTGGCAGACAGGCACCTCGGTTGCTGCGGTCCAGGTTAGCGAGAAGCTCCGTTTCCCGCATCACTTGAGCCAAGGGCTTGGGGGCCAGCTCAGGGCACAGCCCACACGGCCGCCCGGTTTCCCCCCCTTCGGGTTGGGCGCGGCAAGCAGGGCGGGGCCCGCCGGCGGCAGTACTTGTGCGCGGCGGTACGTCCCTCTGTGCACGCTGGCCTGCGCTTGGACGGCGAGGCGGTTCTGGAGAGACCTGAGGTTAGAGGCGCGGTGCCATGTTACCCTACGCGGCGTGCAGGTGAGAGGCAGGCGCCATGGAGGGGCGCGCGGAGCACGGCGGTGCGGGTCTCGGGGCGAGGGGCTGGGGGCCGCCAGGGTCCTTTTTGCGGCGCGTGCGGCGTGACCCCGGCGTGTCTGTCTTCCAGCGCTAGCCGGAGGCTGGCCCCGGCTTTGGGGCTCCTGGGCGTACGGCAGAAGCACAGCCTCCCCGACTTGCCCTACGACTATGGGGCCCTGGAGCCGCACATTAACGCCCAGATCATGCAGCTGCACCACTCCAAGCACCACGCAGCCTATGTGAACAATTTGAACGCCACCGAGGAGAAGTACCAGGAGGCGCTGGTCAAGGGTAGGTACCAGGCTCTAGTGGAGGTCGCCGCCTGGAGCAGATGCGACCGTGAGTTGGTCCCACTACCAGTCCTGAGATTTCCAGGCGCAAAGCCCCTTTAAAACCGTGACCTGTTTTATTGTAGCAGACTCTTACTGATTCATTTGTATAAACTTCTTTTATTATCTCAGAAAACTTAGGATTTCGTAGAGGAATTTGTTTCTGAATTTGACCGTGTTAGCCCAATTTTGTTACCCATATTGCTAATGTTAGTGAATTGTGCAGGCTTTAAAGGAAACTTAGTATGTACCCCTTTTTTGCATATTAACATTTAGAATTTGCTCGTTACATAATGAGCCCTTGGAGATACCTATTTGATCTCTCAGGTAGCCTTGCCAGCCATTTGCTGAAGAGCTGAGAGAGCACCGTAAGCTTGTTGCCCAGACTCTAGTGTCCTTGAGCGTCACAGTAACGCTTGAAGTGGGCTGGGGCTTTGCTGTCTGCAACCCAAGTGTGTGCCTGGGCAGTAGGTGGGAGAGGAGGGCCTTTCTGGCTCCTTTTCCAAGGGCACGACAGTATTGAACCAATACTGGCAGAAGAAGCTGCTCTCTGGTCATTGTCATCGTTCTGGGAAGGGCTGGAATCTAGCTGAGGACTTGACTTGCAGATTCCTCCTGTCCTGAGCTGCCCATACAGGTGAATTGCACTTACCCTCTTGTTTTACTTTATGTGGGCGAGAGTGTTAACATTATGATGTTCATTACCAAAAAGTACTTACTTGGCTGTGAAACAGGTCAGGCCCTATTGCTCTGATTTAAATTAAGGGTCAAAATTTATAAGAAAAATAGCCATTTTTGTAGAAACTTGAGTATTTGTAATTCAATTAATGTAATAAGGAGTTAACTTTTTTTAAAAAGAGCTTTTTTGACAAAACCAGGAGCATGTGAATTTTTTTGTGTTCTTACCTCTTGGGGTAACTGTTTTAATGTCTATACAAAATAGTATGTTCTTTTAATACATTAGTTTGGGCAGGGAAGATAATTTACAGTCATACTGCCAGACTATCTGTGTTTAATAAGCTAAGAAAATGTACTCTTTAAGAAAAATACTTTAACTGTTTTTATTGAATTTCAGGCCTATGAAATTTGTTGAGTAATTTTAAACAGTGATATCTGGTTGAGTAGGGGCATCTAGTGGAAAAATGTAGTATTTCAGCTTGTGTTTGAGGTAAATACCTTAGTAAAAAGAGGAGAAAATTAGCATGTTCTGGAAGATTTACTTGCAGGAATTATATGAACCTTGAATATGGAAAGAGGAAATAGCAGATTTGTGGAAGATGTGGTAATAGCGAAAATGGGGAATTTCCCAGTTGTGAAAGTATTTCCTGGAAGCAACATCTGACACCTTCAATATTTTTTAAAAATCTTAATTTCAGCTCCCCCGCCTTTTTTTGTACCTGAGATCAGACTCAGGACCTTGCACTTGCAAGACAGGCATGGCGCCACTGAGCTATATCCCTGGCCCAATTTCAGCCCTCTTCTTATGGAATCAAAACTTTACCTGTTTAATGACAGCCACTGAAAAAAAGAGCTTTACGTTACATTGCAGTACTGTATTATTATTATTACTATTATTATTATTATTATTATTTTGGTATCAGGGATCAAACTCAGGACGTTGCACTTGTGAGGCAGGCGCAGCACCACTGAGCTAAATCCTCAGCCCCTACTGCAGTACTGTATTTATTGTAAGTTAATAACTGCAGAACTTTTCCTTAAAAATTATATTTTTGAGATTATTAAGAGTTAAATTTTCATAATTGGAAACTTGGGAAGAAAGAGTGTAAGTAAACTAGCATAATCTCATCACATATAACTAATGTAAATGCTTTTTCAACCAAAAGTTTTTAACTTTTATTGTATTTGAAGAAAAAACTTGAATTGAAACCAAAGAAAATATTGAACTCTACAAAATTGTTAAGAGCACAGTTCCTATGAAAAATTTAAAATAGTTAAGCAAACTAAGATTTTTTTTTTTTTTGGTACCGGGGATCCAACTCAGGACCTTGAGCTTGCACCAGGCGCCAGGACCACTGAGCTAAATCCCCAGCCCCTAAGATATTGAGATTACTAAATTCTCTCAGTAAGCATGTTTCCTTCTCATTTGGGAAATTGAGTTTTGATTTATTTAAAACAACATGAAACCTACATTTATATTTTTAGAGTGACTCCAGAAAAAATAAGGGAAACACTGAACTGTAAGAAAATTACCTTGTAAGTACATCAAAGGAAGAAAAGGTTGGTGTCTAAAAGAAAACCTAAGTGATTATCTATGTACTCAGTATCACTTGGTCCTCTCTTCTCTGAAAGAGGAGAGGCGTTAATGTTACTTTCTTGTTTCAGAAAGTAACATTTCTTATCTATGTTTTTTTTTTTTTTTTGGTACTGGGAATCAAACTCAGGGACTTGAGCTTGCTGGGCAGGTGCTGTGCCCCTGAGCTACATCCCAGGCCCTCTTACCTAGGTTCTTAACATAGATGTTCAAAGTGGAATTGTGAACTTTTTCCAAAAGTGCAGTTCTTGCAGAGCAGAGCTCTTGGTGGTTCTGTCCTTTACTTTGCCTCCCTTGTTATGGTGAATCATAAGCACTCTGTATTTATTGAACAAGGGAATTTCTAGTTTTTCCAGTACTTAAGTTAGTCTAGACCTTCTTGAAGGCACAGAAAAGAAAATAATTTGAATACTTGTTTAGCAAGAAGTCTCTTTGGTTTCACTTTACTTTGCTCAGTGTTTTTGAGAATACATTCAGATAGTTCAAGCATGATATTCTTCTTTTTAGAACTATAGAGAGGACCTTTTTTATTTTTATTTGTTTTTTTGATACTGAGGATTGAACTCAGGACCTTGCGCTTCCAAGGCAGGCATGGCACCATTGAGCTAAATCCCCGGCCCAAGAGGACCTTTTTTAAGAAACTACATTTAATATATTCAGTCATCTAATGAATCAACAAATACTTATTGAGAGTGTTCTGTGTATATTGGGCACTGAGGCGACAGCAGTGCACAGAGTCTTTGTCCTCACTGTCGTGTGTAGGCTCGTGGGGACACAGGTGAACATGTGTACATGTAGGGTGCCAGGAGTTACAGGTTTGGTTGGGAAAGATGGAGTAGACTACGAAGTCTGAGAGCAGGTGGGGAATTGCTGTGTATCCTGGCTGATGAACATGTAACTGGTAGACTGGAAGGGGAAATGAGAATGAAACATGAGGCTGGATGGGGGAAACTGCTGCCGCAGAGACAGCTGGTCAGCCCTGAGCAGGGCACATGCTGAGTGTCATGTGAGTGCAGGGATGTAGTGTGGCTCTGGAATGGGGTAGACAGCCAGGTGATGTGCTTCTTTTTAGCTCAGTGTAAGGATGCAGGGGTCACACCTGGTGAGAAGGGACACCTATTGGGAAGGAGACTGGTACTAATGGAGGTAGGAGATGCTGGTGCACTTGCACCTGCAGGTAGGAGCAGAGTTAGGAAGACATGATTGGATTTTGGATATGTCTTAAGGGTGGAGCTGACTTTGCTGGTGGGTATGGGGATGGATTGGGTGTGGAGTGTGAGGAGAGAGGAGTCAAAGATGACATCAGTGACCTGAAGGACAGAGTTGGCATTCACTGAGATGTCCCCATAGAAGGAGTAAATTTGGGTTTGAAAATCAGGAGTTCAGTTTGTTGAGTTTTCTTGCTTTCCTTCTTCCTTTTTTTTTTTTTTTTTTTGGTTTTTTGAGATAGGGTCTCCCTTTGTAGTTTAGGCTGACCCTGAACTCACTATGTAGCCCAGGCTGGCCTCGAACTCATGGCAATCCTCCTTCTTCAGCCTCCCAAGGGCTGGGATTACAGGCGTGCGCCACTATACCTGGCTATTGAGTTTTCTTTTTAATGTCACTTTGAAACATTTCCCAGTGAATAATTGTCTTACTTGGAAAATGAGAGTTGAATGTTTTCTTTGTTCTATACTGAGCCATGCATTTTAGCTTTTCATTTCTGTATTTTAATGCTTTGGTGTTTAATTTGCTGAAATCTTTTGTATCCAAGAGAACCCTGAACCCTTAGTCATCAGAAGTGAATTTTTTCCTAGCTTTAACCACCCTTGCCAGTTATATAGCATACAATTAATTGAACTGGAAAATCTGAAACAAGTTGTTTGGGAGGGCCCTCCTTTTTTTGTAGAATATGAAATTGCTAAATTTTAGGAAAAACAAGAATGTTATAGATAAGCTAGTGCAATTTTCTAATGCCTTACAAAAGAAAAAAATCGAACAATGTATAGAGTGGTTAAAGAGTAAGATTTTTTTTTTTAGGCAAGGTCTTGCTATGTTGTTGTTCAGGCTGGCACTGAACTCAGTTTATAGCTCAGGCTGGTCTCAAACTCACAGCGATCCTCCTGCCTCAGCATACCAAGTGCTGGTTGGAATTATAGAGGTACACCACCATGCCTGGCAAGACTAAGAATTTTTTAAAAATGTGTTTGCGTTTTAATATTTCAGGAGATGTTACGACTCAGGTCGCTCTTCAGCCTGCACTGAGGTTCAATGGTGGAGGTCACATCAATCACACCATTTTCTGGACGAACCTGAGCCCTAATGGTGGTGGAGAACCTAAAGGTTAGTATATGTCAGTACAAACCTATGTGTATTTTGTGCACAATAGAAATGATTGTTGATTTTCTTTTTCTTTTCATCTTTCTTTGGGAGGTTGCTGGGAGCAAATCTAGGGTCTCCTGCATGTCGAGCACTCACTGTACCACTGAGTTATATCCCCAGCAGATTGTTAATTTCTTCTTTCCTTAATTCTCCTGAGGTATCAGTGGAATATTTTTCATAGCAAGGCATCTAACAAAGTTGTAACTTTTGAAGGGAAAGAGTAGGAATGGAGAATGCATTCAAGGACTTATGTCATCAGGCTTTACACACACTTACAGAACCATCTCATGGTTTAAATTTTTTTTTTTTTGGTAATCAAACTGAGGACTTTATTCTTGCCAGGCAGGAGCGGCAGCGCTGAGCTAAATCCCCGGCCCGTACATGGTTTAAATCTTAAGGAAAGAAGCCAGGTATGGTGGCGCCTGCCTGCCAGCACTTGGGAGGCTGAGGCCAGAGGATCACTTCAAGTTTGAGGCCAGCCTGGGCTATATAGTAAGTTCAGGGCTACAACTAGTGAGTTCAGGGCTAAACTACAAAGTGAGACCTGTCTCAAAAACCAAAAGAAAAAAAATATGAAGGAAAGACTGAGCAATCTAGTTTTAAGAAAAGATGAACTTGGCCTGGGGTTTAGCTCAGTGGTTCCAGCGCCTGGCTCACAAGCGCAAGGTCCTGAGTTTGAGTCCTGGTACCAGAAAAAAAAAGAAAGAAAAGATGAACTTTATATTTACTAGCCCCAGGACCTCTGAGATATGATACTTAACCATCTGTACTGTTTATAAGATATAGGGTTAATAATGGGACTGTTTTCAGATTTACATGTAAAGTGCGTAGACTAGTGCGTTGGATATTATTCTTCCTGATTAAAAGTCACTTGTTGCACCTGTAATTCTAGCACTTTGCAGGCTGAAGTAGGAGGGTGGTGACTTTGAGGCCAGCCTGAGCTACATACAAGTTCCAGGCCACCTAGAGACACCTGCTCCAGAAAATTAGGTTTCCAGATATTTTTAAAAAGTGTAGGTAATGAGGGGTGTACAGAACCAGTTGGTGTGGTTCATTGTGTTTGTTGTGTGATCTCCTGTGTAACTTGTGAGGCTCAAGTGACTTTAACTGTCCTCCTTACCCCAGGTCTGATGTGGGGCATGAATACAGCTCTCCTCTCTTGTTTGTGGGCCCCTTGCACGTATCCTAAGTTTCTGTGGTTTTATTGTCTGTTTTTAATCAGTATTGTTCAAGGTATCCCATCTAATGCCCCAGAAAGAGCAATTTCCTTTGAAGTGATATTAAATGGGGAAATAAGTCTAAGAAATTGGATAATTTACTCTTTGTGCGTGGGGTCTTTGGATTATACCTAATACTTCTGAGGTTTTGTTAATGATCACAATATCAGATCTGCTCATATTCAACTGATGGTTTTGGCATTCTCTCCCATTTTGCATTATCTGTACCACTTGATTCCCCTAGTTGTGCTTATAAAAGATGACTACTTTTCAGTTCATAGTATAAGAGGAGTGAGGTTTTTGACCCAGCAGATTTAGTCAATGTGCTCAATCTAGAATTAATTCTATATTACTGTAGAATACAAATATTATAGCTCTTTTTTTTTCTTTTATTTTGCAGTGCTGGGAGTCAAACCCAGGGCCTTGTACATACTAGGCAAATGCTTTACCACTGGGCTGCAGTTAGGGCTCTTAAAGTATATACCCTTAGTTCAGTAACAGAAAAGAAAATGACCCTTTTAAAGTCAAATATGGTCGAGATAGGAAGATCTAGGTTCCCTTGTAGAAGAACTGAACAGCAGTAACTTTTTATTTCCAAATGAGGACATAGATAAATGGGGTAGAAGTCAAAGTAAAAATTTCTGTCGAGGGAAAATTAAATAAAAGAAAGGCAATGGAAAATATTACTTCTTTCCTGATGAAAATAGCAGAGTGGCCAAGGATTTAGCTTAGTGGTTTCACCACCTGCTGCGCAAGCGCAAGGACCCGAGTTCGATCCCCGATACCAAAAAAAAGAAAACAGCAGAGTGAAGAAATCTCTAGCTTCATTAAAAATACATGAATTAAAACTGAAACCTCAGGTATTAGTGTCAGGGCAGGAGGAACACAAGTATTACTCACATACACTGAGTTATATATATCTTTTTTTGTTGTTGTTTTGGTTTTTTGAGGGAGGGTCTCCCTTTGTAGTTCAGGCTGGCCCTGAACTCACTATGTAGCTCAGGCTGGCTTCAAACTCAAGGTGATCCTCCTGCCTCAGCCTCCTGAGTGCCAGGATTACAGGCATGTGCCACCACACCTGGCATTGGGTTATATATATCTTTTGTATGATATTGTCCAGTTTTTTGGGCCATATGACAGGGATATTTTTATATATGTAATAGAATATTTTATCATAATTGTTGAAATCTGTTTGAGTTTTGGATTTTTTTTTTAAATAGGGGAATTACTGGAAGCCATCAAGCGTGACTTTGGTTCCTTTGACAAGTTTAAGGAGAAGCTGACAGCTGTGTCCGTTGGCGTCCAAGGCTCTGGGTGGGGCTGGCTTGGTTTCAATAAAGAGCAGGGGCGCTTACAGATTGCTGCCTGTTCTAATCAGGATCCGCTGCAAGGAACAACAGGTTAGATTTGAAAATTATTTTTCAAATAATTTGGAAGATGATTTATTATAAAGCATTTAGGTAGAAGTAAGAAAAATTAGCAGTGTTTAAACTTACCACAAACATGTAATAACCTGAGCACATCTTAGCAGGTAATACCCAGAGTCTGGTCTAAGAAAAATGCTGTAAAAGTCCTTGATGTTTTGTAAGATAAGCACAGGTAATTTTGTAGATAACATCAACAAAAGTGTTTTAATCATAAAGCCTGTGTTGCTCTACAGAGAATTAACATGAGTTTAAATAATTGTATGAACTAAAATAAAAAAACTAAAGCTAGATAAACAAGAGCAAGGAAAAGAAGTAGAAGGTGAGCCTAACTTCAGAACTTGTATTCTTCCTCTCTTTGCTGAACTCATGTGTTTAAACTGAGATTAGAATTCAAGTTTCTAGACTTTTGCCTCTCTGGGGGCCTTTGGTATATGTAAATATTTGGCTTGGAAACTCCAGGCCACCTTCAGCAAATCTTATTTTTCAATTGAGCCTTATTGAATTAGAATCTCTTTATAAAATGCCACTGAAATCACTTCTTGGCCTTTTGGCTAAGATCAAGTGTATAAAATGCCACTGAAGAGTATAGGAAGTAGAGTCATAAGTCATAGGCAGCTGGGCCACTGATCTCTGATATAATGAACTTAAAGCAACACCTTACCACTGGACACCAGCAGTTCTCTGCCACCCTTCCCACCTCTACCCATGACTTAAGATTCTTCCTTATACAGCTCATTTCCCTACATATACTCTGAATTTGTCAGAGTCTAAACAGTCCTTTGGGGAAAATGAGATGCCATAAGAATCTACAAAAGATTCATTGCCTGCCTTGCAAGCACAAGGTCCCGAGTTTGATCCCTGGTACCAAAAAAGAAAAAAAAAAATCTACAAAAGATTTATGAACACCAACTGCTGTAGAGACAGATGTATCTCTTAAGGTACCTGATGGAAAGACTGATTTCTATGGGAATCCCAGCTACCTTTTTTTCTCTACCACTTGAAAGCCCACTGGGGGCTGGGGATTTAGCTCAGTGGTTCTGCTGCCTCCTTCACAAGCGCAAGGTCCTGAGTTTGATCCCCAGTACCAAAAAAAAATGAATAGATAAATAAAGAAATAAATAAATAAAATTAAAAAAAAAACCCCACTGGAATGACAAGTCATAACTTTTTTTTTCTTTCTGGTACCAGGAATCAAACTCAGGACCTTGTTCCTGCAAGGCAGGCACTGCGCCACTGAGCTAAATCCCCAGCCCCATGACATTATAACTTTTTAATATGGGAAAAATTGTTCAAATAATAAATTATTGGTGATACACATCACAATTGATCAAGACATCCTGGTTGAGAATTGTTTTCATAAGAGAGTTTGAGAGTTTTAAAAAAATGTTTTATGGGTGCAACTACGTTTTTCATTTATACTATTTAACTTATGAAAACTGTGTCTTTCTCTTTAGTCCTATGTTGCTTTCCTTGTTAATTTTTTTTTATTGGTATCTAATAAGTGGTACATATACTCTAAAAAATTAGCCTGGGGAGCGAAGTGCATTCCTTTTGGAAGATCCAAAGATAGCATTCCTTTACTGTGGACTCTGAGGGCACTGGCGCAGAAAGGGGAGTGGAAATTGGCTCTTGGTTCATTCTATTGCTATTTTAAGAAGAGCTATTAAAATACTGTAGAGGTTTTCCTGAGTCTCTTTTAAGTATTTTTACTACCTGTCACATTTTTTTTTCAAAGTGAAGCCTAAAATCTCTTTATAGGAATATTGTTAAGCGAATTTGCTGTTACATAAGAAACAGAAGTGGATGAGATTGTTATATAGGATAATTTTGTGTGTAAAGACTAATAAAAGTTTTACATTAGGAAGCTGCAACGTTTTAGATTAAAATGTAAAGTTTTTACTTTTTTCTTTTTTCTGATAGGTCTTATTCCACTGCTGGGGATTGACGTATGGGAGCATGCTTATTACCTTCAGTATAAAAATGTTCGACCTGATTATCTAAAAGCTATTTGGAATGTAATCAACTGGGAGAATGTAACTGAAAGATACATGGCTTGTAAAAAGTAAATCATCAGGGCTGGGGATTTAGCTCAGTGGTCCTGCCTGGCTCACAAGCACAAGGTCCGAGTTTGATCCCTGGTACAAAAAAAAGTAAATCATCAGTATACTAAGTGTTAAGCTCTTTATGACTATTTTTATAATAGTGTAGCGTACTGCAATATACTAGTAACCTGCTATATTGTAGCATTTATTGATGTTGCTTATTCACATGCTTGATAATTTAATGTTATGAATAATTTATTTTTAAATTTTGTTATTAAGCAACTTTGAAAATAGTACTTTGTGTGATTTAGTCTTGGTTAAGTATTTTTTTTCAGAGAGCTACAATTGCTAGGTTATTATATCATTATGAAACCTTCAAAATTATTCCAGACAGTTTTGGGGACTGTAGGGAAGCCTTTGTAATGGTATTCTGTTATAGTTACAGAAAAATCTAGTCTTTTCCCCAATTGCTTAATGGTAAAATAGAAAATGGAATATTTTGCTTTTCTATTGAAGAGTGCTATTTTCATAAGTAATTTTCTGGCTAGTGGTACTTTGGTAGATATCACCCAGTCGGCCATATTATGGTCACATGTGCACACAGTTAATGCCATTTTTTGTCATTCAAAAACATGAAACTTGTGGCTGGGAAAGTAGCTCATTGAAAAAAGCTCCTTCTTGCTATGCACAAAACCCTGGGTTTGATCCTCAACACTATAGATAAAGCGCTCTAAAAAAACCAATGTAACTGGATTGTTAATTGAAACTGCTTTATTATGAGGAGATAATTATGCATTTGGATTTTTCTGGAGACAGAAATACAATTTCATGTGAGTTTTGTCCTTAAACATAGAAATATATATTGTATAAAAATATTCAAGAGGGACAAATGAGGGCCTGAGGATTGGCAACATCAACAGTGGGGGTGCTGGGGATTTAGCTCAGTGGCGCTGCGCCTGCCTCACAAGTGCAAGGTCCTGAGTTCTATCTCTGGTACTGGAAAAAGAAAAAAAAACAGTGGGGACTGGGCCACAGGGCATTCTGCTGGGCACTTCCCCTGCTTTCAGGGCCATTTCTGTGCATCCTTCTCATGAAAACGGCCTGGGCCAGGTACCCCTTCCCAGTAGAGGTAGATATCTGTCTCTGGATGATGTCAGCAGTGTGTCTCCCTCAGAACATTTATTTTCAGTCATGTTCTTGATTTATTCTGTCCTTTGTGATTTTTTTTTGTTTTCTTTTAAAGAACTTATAGCCACTGTAGAAGCTTTATATTGTTTTTCAATAAAGGAAAAATGATGTCTATAATTCAGTGATGGCATTTCAGATTATGTTCCTTTGCAATTTTTGCACACAGAGCTGTCCACTATTTCAATGTAGTAGGGGTTCTTTTTGTATTCAGCTTACCATTGTCCTGCATTTCCCATGTTGACTCATCATTGAAGCCCTTCTGACATGATGTTCTGCCTGACTGTGGCCCCAAAGTGATGAGGCCAGGCATTACATGGACTGATACCTCTGAAACCATGAACCAAAATAAGTCCTCCTTTAAATTGTTTTTCTCGGGTATTTTGCCATGGCACATTGAAAGCTGACAAGCATATTGGGTTTAGTTCTGAAGGCTCAACAAATCAAAAAGAACCTTGTGGGCTTTGGCAGGGATTTTAGATTTGTACTAAGTGCAGTAGAAGAAGCAAATAAATCCACTGAGGGATTTAGGAAAGGTGCTTTCCTTGTGCAAGGCACTGTGAGAGATTGTACAAAATATTCAATTGAGAGAAAAGGAGTTCCTTTGATTAAAGAAGGAAAAAATCAGTAAAACAATCAAAATGTAATTATTTTCAGCAACTCCAACCCCCCACCTCACACATAGACCAAATTAATTATTTTCCAAACACACCAAGCATTTTCTTATCTAGTGTTGCTGCATAGTCATTGTAAGTATCTCTGAAATTTCAGCTTCCCCAGAACTTGCAGATCTCTCCAGTGAGCGTTAACCCCTCTTTTTGCAACTGGACTATTTTATTGCATCCCATTAGATTGTGCATACTCCCAAAACAGGTATTATGTCTTACTGTTTTTTGAAATTTCTCAATACTTAGCTTATATCTTATTCTTTTTTGAATCTTCTCAGTGCTTGGCCCAGAGCCTTACTCATGACAAGAATGTAATTTTTTTTTCCCTTTGTGGAGCTAAATTGTTTGGTAGATTAGCCTGAGAAAATTCAATCAAGAGGAAAAGGGCTGTGTAAATAATTGATTTGAATTTACTGGATTTAATCTGGGCTGAAAACTATGCTAAGTGGTACAGATTCAACATGTCTAATAATTACATTAATCCTTTAAAAATGCCTTTGAGGGCCAGGGATTTAGCTCAGTGGTTTCATTGCCTGCTGCAAAAGCACAAGGGCTGAAGTTTGATCCCTGGTACCAAAAAAAAAAAAAGCCTTTGAAGTGCAATTTATGAAGCCTCTGTTAAAGATGAGAAAGTTGAGGCTCACAAAGATGACCTGGCAATATCAAAACCCCCCATTTTGTCAGAGACAGCACTGTATCTAGTCTAGCTCCAAATCAAAATGGATCTGATTCATATAACCTGGTGTGGTAGTGGACACTTATAATCCTAGCACTCTGGGAGGTTGAGGCAGGAGGCTTGCCAAGTTCAAGCCCAGCCTGAACAACTTAGTGAGATGCTGTCTCAAAGAGCTGGGGATATAGTTCAATGCCAGGGCCCTTGGTTCAATTCCCAGGACTGGAGGGGAAAAAAAATCAGTCTAGTTTCACCTGACTCACATTTGTGCTTTTATTCCTTGTGCATGTTTCCTTGTCACTCTCTGCTATCATCTTAGCCATCTACTCCTTGCCATTGAGGGAGAAGGAATAGCTTGCCATTTATTGAGCACTTACCCAGTGCCAAGTCTTGTGCAGTTGCCTAGCATGTTTTGTTTTATTGAATGCTCATGAAACTTCTGTGTCACAGACTTAAGGAGTCTTAGAGTAGAAGTACTTTATCCCAGATAGTACAGCCAGTAGTGATAGAGCTGAGCTTTCTGCTCAGGACTGTGATCCTTACCAGACACTCTAATTACCCTTCAAGGCTACATTGGGGCTGACTGAGCCCGTCTTAGTCTTGTTCCCCTAGCTGACATCCAGTGCCCTATACCCATAATTTAAAGAAGAAGTTTATTTTGGCTCATGGTTACAGTCCATGTTTGGCTGGCCCCAGAGCAGAAATGGCACAGTAGAGCGGCGTGTCAGAGGAAACCTGCTCTTGTCTTGGTGATCAGAAAGCAGAAAGAGAAGGGAGGAGCCTGGGAGGGAGATGTACCCTTCCGGGTCTGCCCCCAACAACCAGCCTCTCACCAGGCCTCACCTCCTAATGGCAAGTCAGCTGTAGGCCCCATAGTCCAGTCACCCTCCAGGAGCCCCATATCTGAGCACACGAGGCTTTGCAGGGATGTTCTTGATCATAACAGCCCTCTTTGCCTGCCTGGGTCATTTTCGCTGTTCCTAACACCACCCCCTCTCCCTCTTTCTGTCTTGGAAAAGGGCAGCTTCTCAACCCTTATGCTTCAAGGGTGCAGCTACTTCCTACTTCTGTCCCCATAACCCAGGGCTCCTCTTTTTTAGTGCAGGGAGGTCAGCCCTGGGAAACTCAGAAAAAGATGTCTCTTGTACGAGGTACCTCTGCCTCCTTCCTGCTCTAAGTCACAAAGAAACTGAAGATTTCTCCTCTCATCCCTTTTCTCCAGTCCTCTGCCTCTGTTTACACTGCTGTTCCTGCCTATAGACTTCCTTTTTTTTTGGTACAGGGGATTGAACTCAGATCCTTGCACTTGCGAGCCAGGCAGCAGAACCACTGAGCTAAATCCCCAGCCCTATAGACTTCCTTTTTATTGTTTTCCTAGTTTTACTCCTGAATATTTGACATACTGAGATTAGAGCTAATGCCCCTCCCATTGTATGTTTTGCAGGGGACATGTAGGAACATTGAGGTAGGAGGTAAGTCCAAGTGAGGAACGATTATCCTGAACCAACTGCCAATAGTGATCCATGATGAACTGCAGGATGGTGACACCAGGGAGCAACATTCAACACCACAGTTCAGGAAAAGTTGGATGAGGGGGCAAGGGTTTGATGAGGACTGAACAAGGAAGGAGTACAATTTCAGAGAATGGGGACAGAGGACAGGGTGAGTTTGAAGTGATGAGATACAGGGACCGGAAAAGCAAGGAGTCACTGGAGGTTATAATGGAGCAGCATGGTAAGAGAACAGGCTGAGAGAAGGGAGCAGTTCCCTACTGAAGAGGGAGGCCCTCAGAGGCCCAAGGTGCCTGGGTTTGGGGAAAGGATCCTGAACAAACTTTCTGCTTTCTGAACAAGGAATTTAAAATGAGTTACTCAGTAACAGCCCTCACTGTCTTCAGTAGGAGCATAATGAGCAAAGTCTCATACTTTATCTTGCTTGTAGTCACTTAATTGGCCAAATTATTAAATCATACATTGACAGAATCACATGTATGTTAAGGAATCTCTACTCTTTAAAAAATCTTAAACTGAAAAATATTTGAGGTATTTAAATATTAAGATAGAATCAAATCAGGCAAAATAAGTTGGCTCTAAGCAACCAGTTCAAAAGTCAAACGAGCTGCACCTTGAGCTTGCAGACTACACTTTAAAAAACTATTGCTTATAGCCCAGCCCAGAGGAAAGGGCTTTTGGGCCAACGTCTGTCCCACCGCTCCCGGCCCAGAAGAAGGGGCTTCCCGGCCACCATCCCTCCCACCATTCCTGGCACAGAGGAAAGGGCTTTTGGGCTGCTGTCTGTCCCACCGCTCCCAGCACAGAGGAAAGAGCTTTTGGGCCACCATCCCTCCCACTGCTCCCAGCCCCTGTCCCACCTCTCCCAGCTCAGAGGAGGTGAGCTGCCCAGGGGCCAACAGCACCTCCCCAGCTCCTCAGTCGAAATGAGAAGACACACAAATAAGTCTCAAAACCAGGCTTCCAGATCACCTACAGCAACCCCAAAGGGAAATGAGATGGAACACTCTGATACTCAACCACCTGGACCCACTGA